TATACAGAATTTACATATTTTTACAGTATGCATATGAATAGAATAATTTACCGTGGCTAATTTTGTTTTCTTTAAAAAAGAAAAATGTACTTGGTTGCATATGTATTGAAAAAGATCTGATTTGGGCCAATGATGGGCCTTATTTTCTCCAATCAAGATATCATTGAATGTTTTTTTCTGCTAAAAAAATATAAATGTTTAAATTTAATCATTGAATGTTGCGACGTAACTTGCACACAAACGCAATTCACACACATACTAAAATACAAAACAAAATAATGAAGAGGTTCAATAACTAGAATCATTTCTAGTGAATATTTACAAATTGATCATGTCTCTGTTTCAATTTCACAGTGATTCAAAAGAGGAGATGCATAAACTACGATTCAGATCTACGAAGAATGGAGTCAGTTTTCTTGTTCTTCTTCTATGGATTGTAATCATCTTGCTTTTCTCCTACTTGGAATTGGATTCGCGCAAAATTCAATCCATAAAACAGTGTTTTTCTCAACACAGATTTTCAGAAGAATGACAATGATTAGTTTCGTTTTCATTCTCTCTGCTTACCTTTCTTTCTTGAGTCGGTTAACCGATTTCACCGTTTCACCGGAACCGTTTTTTCTCTCATCGCAGAGTGATTATTCTCCGGTGGCGTTTTCGTCTCCGATGTAACAGTTCACAATCGTCAACTGATATGATTTATATCCAACGATTGTGGTGGAACTCCCTCGAAACTTTCCAGATTTTGACAAAAGAATTTGGAATTGTCTTCCCACTTTTTATGTTACTGATGGAGGATAATCGTAGATGGATACAAGAGATGCATAGTGGTGTGACTATTTCGACAATCAATCTCTATGAATTGGTGCAAGAGAAGAAACAACGAAGCGGTGCAAAAGAAGTTGTTGTTAATGTTGGACTAGTTGTTGTCAATGTTGGACAATTGTGGAGTCTCATCCATTGGATGATAGCCATGAACGACAGTTTCATGAGAATGAGATTGATTTTAAAGAAGGAAAATAATAGATTTGATTATCTATTAGCGGGTAAGTCTTTTATTTTGAAAGCATCGTGGATCTTCACTTCTTTATCGTTCATTGTAAGATTTAAATATATTGTGGTTGTGTGTAGTTGTTCTTGTATACCGTTATTATAATTCTGTTGTACCAATTCTTGTATCTGATTTATCAATGAATGAAGAAGATGTTTCTTTGTGTTAAAAAAAACAAAAAAATGAAGAGGTTTTGTTAATATGAATGACGCTATCAAAAGTTCAAAACAAACATTCAACAAAAGAAAAGGAAAGAAAATTGCTTTTTTCTTGTTTTCATGTAAAAAAGAAAATTAAAGATGAGGTTAACCAAGGAGAGGTTGGCTTGGTACGAGGGTTTCTTCTTCATCTTCTAGATTTGGTTTGGCATTTCTGTAAAACGCATAAATTAGGAGTTGCATTGTCCCAAGCAAAAACCCCATTCCATTTGGCACCTAATACACACACAAAATACAAATCAGTTTACTATAATAAATCTGATAACGGTATTTCTTAAAACCATAGTATTTCATACTTACCAATAGGAAAATATCGTGCATGAGCAAAGCATAGAAACCCCAAATCGCGCCGTTTAGAAAGAGGAAAAACGACAGCCAAAACGGCATGTACTTCACACTCCTCGTCGTCACAACCGTTTTCTGATCGGATATATCAATAATTTGAATTAAAACGACACTATCTGTAAC